TTGTCTTGGTGCACAGTGACCTGTAGCACCATCCAGCGGAGAGGAGTTCAAACTGTTCATGTCCAGGGTGTGAGGGGTCTGCAGAGATCTTCTCCGCCCACCTTTTGACACTCAGATCCTCCATGGCTGGCACCAATGATTCTTTCTGCAGTCCTGACTGTCCTCTGGAGTCTGTTCCTGTCCTGTTTGGTTGCTGAGCCAAACCAGACAGTGATGGATGAGCAGAGAACAGACTTGATGATTCCTCTGTAGAACTGTATCAGCAGGTCCTGGGGCAGGTTGAACTTCCTGAGCTGGATCAGGAAGTACATCCTCTGCTGTTTCTTCTTGGTGATGGTCCTGATGTTGGACGTCCACTTCAGGTCCCGAGAGATTGTGGATCCCAAGAAACTGTAGGACTAAGTGGGCATTTCTGCAGACTTTACCTGAGGGAATTCCCCACAGTTGTGTTGCGAAGAGAAACATGCGGTTAGCCCGCTGTACCCAGGGGCTAACAATCATTCTTATGTGAACTGATGTTATTCTAATGTTTCTGTATGTTGCTTTGGACAAAAGCATCTGCTAAACACTGTAACTTAAACATAAACATCCTATATTACACACCTGTTTCATTCATCAACTATTTATTTTCTTTTTTGTTTAATGATGCCATTTTGACAAAACTTATATTAAATTGATTAGGTAATTGGCAATTGTCCCTCATCCACTCTGTAAGACAAGAGCCTGGATCAAACCAGCCAGTTGGTCCCTGATGTGTCTTGGCCATGAGGAAATTGAAAAATGTGAAATAAAAAGCTCTATATCCACAATAGTTAGAGCAATGCCGTCGTTTTGCGGTTGTCATGGTGATATAACAGCCTAAGTCACAAAGTGCTGTCCAATTTCTGTTTATACAATTTCCAGCCCTTGCAGACTCTTGCATCCCGTCACTTATAGGTGACATCTCGTAAGTCTTCAAAGGTTCAGGGCCTTGAGACCTTATGGAGGCCATTGGAATTGAGCCGTTTCCACAGGCCTCTTCCATTGCCACCAAAAGGTTTTCCAATGTGGAAGGACTTCTGTCATAAACCTTCCACTGCCATGCTGAGAAAATTTCCTCAGTTGTATTGAGGAGTGGGCAATATGAAGGTAAGAAAACATTTGTGAATTTAGGGCACTGAACCCGGCACAAGCCAGAGTAGCCTGATGGCAGCTAATGTTATCCCACTTGATGACATTCTGGGACAGTTCAGGTTGCCCTGGCCTCTCGTGCTTTTGAAGATGTTTGGAAAGTTGATCTAGGAATGCAAGAATGTAACCTGCTTAGGTATGATTCATTGCTCCAAAGCACATTTGCACCTCAGCAGCCCTATTTATAGGACAATGCAGTTCTGAATAGTTTGTCACAAATTCTGTGGCTTGATGTTTACAGATGGAAAAAGGAGTGTTCATTCAGCTGAGAGGGTCGATGACTGGTATGTATTGTATTGATGTTGCGTATTCACCAAAGGAGCATAAAGTGCAAAGAGTTTTTCATTTGACTACTTCTGTGTACTTTTGAATTAAATAAATTTCACTTACATGTTGAAAATTGTGTGTGAATAGTGTTACAGTAATGGTGAAAGTGCAAATCATTTGAAAACTGAGGTGAGGGTGTTGAGTTTTGTGCTGAGAGACCCAAATACAGTCTGTTACCAATCAGAAAAAAAACCAAGTGGTTTACAGAGTAGTACATTAGTGTACATGTATGAGTGTTTTAATGTGAAAAAGGCACTTAAGACAAAGAGGCTCAACCATCCCTGCATCCACACTGTACTATGACAAGCACTGTTTGACCACCAATACAGTGTTGTCTTGATGTGTCATGTGGTGTCTTCTTAACAAGTTAGAAATAATTCAGTTAAAATATAATAATCTTGATATACATTTACATTAGAATATTATTAACTATACAATATTACATTTAAAATATTCTGCAAACACAGTATAAAATGATTTAGCAGGTCTAAGTAAAGTTTCCTCTGAGTTCATCACAAAAGAAGTCGCACTAACACAAACACAGATTACTTAGTTTGCCTTTAAAAGCCTTGTCTGAGACACAGTGTCCAGGGCCAGGGACAGCATCGCTGTTTCTTTTCTTAGTAGCTGCTTTGGTGGGGTGTCACTAAATAATGTAATGAGTAAAGGCCAGAGCACTGTGACTTTCTGATGGATGTTTATATTAAAGAGAATGCCAGCCAAAAAGTTTATTCCACTGATGCTGAGCAGACAGAGGAGTTGTTCAAGTTGTGCATTTTGCAGAGGGAGGCCAACATTCCCTGCACCTCCTGTGTGCTGTAGTTCGCCTGTGTTTCACTGGTTAAAGTCTTTATCACATTAACTGAGAACTGACCTGTTAAAGTTCGGCACAGATTTTAACATCAACTTTAAATATCTAAGCAGGCCCTCAGCTCCATTAGAAATAATAAAAACTAAATAACAATCAATACTGGTATCAACTGATCTTTAGCAAATTGCAAAGCTAAATTATAAAATTATAGAATTCTACTGTACAATTTTATTGATCAAATAATATATTACAATTGTTCTTTCTAACCTGTTCTTCTGATTACAGTACACCACCTTAAAATGAAGTATATGCCACTGTTTTGGCGAGTGTGTTGATTCAATAAAACTTACAACAAAAGGCTGTAATGACTTTGTCAATCCTCAGACTTTTCCACTATAGCTCAAAGCACTGCAAAACACAATGGTTGATGTGCAGCTGATGCCAGAATGAGTTAAATGCAGACTGCTAAATTAAAACTTTAACATAACAGGCGTACGGTTTGTTACAGGCAGAAGTTCAGCTAGGCAAACAAATCCAAAAAAGGTGTGGGGCATAATAACACAGGGTTGATCCCAGTAACTTACTTTCATCTCCACTTCCTCCCCTTTTGTTGAGGGCATTCTTCATTGCCAGAAGGAGAAAAATATTTTAAAAAGCAATTACAGTTCATACATCTACTATTAATTGTTACTTCTGTTATTGCTGTGCAGATTTTTGCAAATGTATTTCCCAAATGAATGCATGCCAGGCTTGCTGCTCTCAACATGCTGGTCTACTTTAAAGCCCAGTTCTTGTCCTCCAGTGGTTTCTGTAACTGAATGGTGACTGAGCAGTGTTTGGACACAATTAAATCAAAACCAGCAGGTTTACAATCATACGATCAAGCCCAAGGCCCTGGAATACGGAAGAGGTTTTGATTCAACTACGGGCATTTTTGTGGCTGTATAGTGTTATTTTATTAGTTGTATTAGGGCCAATGTCTCATTCTCCTCATCCTCCTGTTGTAAAACATCTACACATACTGAATCATATAATGTAATGTCAGGCTACAAAATGTAGCCTAAATGATAAACTGCCTGCAGAAATTCAGTGGATGTCCACCCCCTACAAATGTAAATGTGCTAACCCCAGCATGGTTCAGTTTGCAGTATACAGGGTAACTTTTACTACAGCCAGTTATAATGTCTTTGTATTTTTAATAGGCATATAGGTAGGCCACAGTTGTTCTCTAACTCAACACTGACCCTCACATGCTTCAGTAAATATAAAAATCCTGCAGCACTTATTGCCTGCGTTTTTTAAGACCATTTGTTTTAGGGGCTAAAGATGCATTGCTGCTTTTGCAGTAACTTGGGACTTCAAAAAGAACAGTGGTTCAAGCTGATTTAAGGCTATCTACAGTGGTGCAAAGCCTGTGGATTTCTGTGGCATTGCAGAGACACAATGTAAAGAGGTTTACATTTTAACGATATTCATATGTATGTCTAACGTTGTTTGTTGGGGATCTATCTGCAGTAACAGGCAAATTATACAGTGGAATGTTTTTTCCCAGTAATATTGATACAGTACTAATGTTTTGGCCGCTATCGCATTGCATTCAGTTTTACATACTTGACACATATAACCATGAATTGTACTGTATGTAAAAAAAAAGAAGAAAATTTTCATGTTACTCCCCACTTTTCTAGGTGTGTTGATGGCGTAAGTTTAGACAACTTCTCACTAAAATACTACATGGACTGCAGTGTTATGTCTGACATAAACTGGACCAAAACCAAAAAGTTAGCAAAATGACTTCATTTTCTAATCCAGAAAAATGTGCGGTTTCCACTAATTGGACAACAAAGCACTAATGTTGCAGTCAGTTGGAATGACTCCAACCAGAGTAATTCAATACAAAGTACAAAATTGAAATGCTAACATCAGCCTGCTAATGATGCTGACATATACACGTTAGCCAGCTACTGTACTTAGCATCTAGCAAGAAGAAAGCCACATCTGTGTCAGATTTTAGTGCTTTGCATGCTTTTAATGATCTCCATCTTCAACATGCTAAACTGATATTAACCCTGATTTTGTCTCATTCTTTGTCACACTCTTTTGTGGTGTGGATTTTAACAACACTGGCTACAGAAGGCAAGAAATAAACATGGGGGTGGGGTTAGTGCACCAGGGGAAAAAACACTTCTAGACAATTTGTTACTTGATTTGTCTGAATCTGTGCTAAATCTTAGTTAATGCAGCTTTAAATGATAAGACTATGTTTTATTTTCTGTGAGGTGTATAATAACCCTAAGTATATATAGCAACTGTTGTTTGAAATAACCCACAATCATTTTGTCATTTTGCTGTAGAATCATAGAATCTGCCTTATAATGTTAATATGAAGACTGTTGGAGTTCAGGCTTTGAGAAATCACAGTCATCTGGAGTTACTGTTACTTGACATCCAGCTGGAGTTCTGCTGGGATGCTTGACATATAAAGAGAGGCCAAAAATAAATAAATAAATAAGAAATTTATTTTTGTTCATTATTAACAACAACTTGGATTGCCAGGATAAAACTTAAAACCTCACTGGGTTTGATGACAAGACTTCCGCTGTGGTGTAAATGTTTATGAAGGCTATCAGAGCCTCCACCAGGGTCTCCAAGGACCCCGGGCAGTCAGAGAGGGGAGTGATAGGCTACAGAGTCAATAACGCTTCTGCCTTAACACACACTGCTGGAGCACAACGCTAACCTGATGGACGCACAGCCGCTATCCAACAGGCTACAGGGGTTGAGGTCCAAAAGTCGGATGAGGAGGATGTCTGTGGCACTTAATAAGGGAATCTCTAAAGCCGATTTCAGAGAATGCTCAGCGCGTCTCTGGCGGCTCTTTCCTCACCTTCTGCTGTGTCTGCTTCTCGTTGCATACGCATTGCTCGGTGCGTTCATGTTCGAGAAAATCGAAGGAGGAGACGAGTCTACCCAGCAGGACTACAAGGAGTTCCTGGGCGAGGTAGTCAGCATCGCCCAGAACTGCACAAGTAAGTCTATGTGTTTATGTAGATTGCCATCTGTTATCACGGTTCAACAAAACTAGAATATCTCAATTAGGCTACATTTAGTTAGCCATATTTATGTTGCTCTATTAAATCTGTGGCAACCTGACTTTTGTGTAAATGCTGATGAATTAAACTGGATATAGGTTTGTATTCTTCCTTGGCATAGCCCCTTAAGCCCATATTTAAATACTAATAAAAACGCATTGCTCCTATAATTCATTTGCTGTACATTAACGTTTTCTTTCTTTGTTCAGATAACAACTGCACACAACTGAAGAATAAGATGAAAGAGTTCAAGTCCATATGGCTCCAGAGTCCTGAGAGATGGAATTTTTCTGGCTCCTTGTTCTTTTGCTGCACTGTATTCACAACTGTGGGTAAGACAACACACAAATTTTATTTATTTATACTTTATCATCTATCTATCTGAACTCACAGATTATACATATACTGTATAAATAGACAGATCTTATTTAAAAGGAAAGGGAGCTGATGTACGTGCAGATTCTCAATCATCCAGGTCATAGTAAACTGAAAAACGTAGAAAAAAACATCAACTGGACTTGGTTTCTAGGCCGAAGACGTTTCACCTCTCATCCAAGAGGCTTCGCCAGTTCTGCCCGACTGGTGTTGAGCCAGAGATATTTATCCCCATTGGTGGTGTTTCAGTCCTTTGATGGCCAACAATATTCCTTGAGATCTCTGCCCAAACTTTCCCACCAGGACAATAGGCATCGGTCGACAGGGGAGGATTCAAAGACAGGTAACGACGCTCACTGATACTGGGCTATAACAACTCAGTCATTAAGGGACATTGTTGGACTTCAAAGGACTGAAACACCAGCGAGGGGGATAAATATCTTCTGCTCAACACCAGTCAGTCAGAACTGATGAAGCCTCTTGGATGAGCTGGTCACTGGTAAAGTTTCCTTCTGACAATTCTTCATGAAGACTGTTTAAGCACAATGCATACTGCAGAGTAGAATGAAACACTGCCATAACCTTCTATAGCTTCTCTGCAGTCATATGAAGGTTTTTCTTTGCCTGTTTGGTAAATGTACTGTTTTTTTTTTTCTGAAAGTGTAGCTGGACCTCAATCTTGCTTTGACTTCCACATTCACTAAGAGAGTGAGCATTTAAGGTATTAAGTGCCATTTCTTATTGACATTGTAGTGAAACCCTCAGACTGGAAGCATTATCTTTTTGCAGCCTGCCCTGCTTTGTAGAAATCATTTTCAGATACTCTATTAGCTGCTTAAAGGAGCCCATTATTATTGAGTGCTACCACAGAGTTTTGACCCTAACTCTAACCTAATTAATGATTTACATTTTGGGGACTTGCTTTTTGCCCCGTCAAGTCCCCACAGTGTGACTGTATAAACAGATTTACATCCCCCCACAGCATGAGTCATACCACAGCATTTTGCCCAGTGCACAGTTTCACATTACTATTTGCAAATAAAGTCCATCCATCCATTTGCTATACCGCTTAGTCCCAAACGGGGTCACGGGGGGGTGGAGCCAATCCCAGCAAGCTGCGGGCGAGAGGCGGGGTACACCCTGGACAGGTCGCCAGTCCATCACAGGGCTAATTTGCAAATAAAATAAAAAAGGGCCTCAAAAATACAAAAAAAACACTGATGGTGGCATTTTCTTGATATGCAAGTAGGGCGTAGAAGACAGCATGATGTCTCAGTAATGCTTAGGTATATTTTCTGGCCTGTGGCATATCAGCACTCCACCACTGGCCTGCCACAGTAGAAGGCATTGTTTCCTGCCCCACCAGGGGCTCATGTGCCACAAAAACTGGGCCACATGTATATTTTTTTGGTCTTCCAAGTAGGGAGCAGAATCATGGGTGAAGATGATGAGCAAGAGAAAAAAATATATCACTCTTACTGGGCCAGCACACCTACAGGACAAGCAAAAATAAAAACGAACAAATATAGGCATGCACCCACACTCCTAAGTGAACCTAAAATGACCGGGGATACAATATACACCATGTGATTCAGATTAGCATGGAAACACAGAAAGGTTTATTGCACAGAATCATTTAAAGCAATATGAAGCTGTATATTTTGTTAACAGTGTCCAGTGAGGGGGTGCAGGGTTCAGTTGGATTTGGCTTTGAGAAAACCTGCATTCTGACAGATTACAAATTAACTGTTGTATATCTAAAAAAAATCATTCATGCCATTTATGTTAAAGGACACAAGTAATTTTTATCAAGACAAGACAATTTATCGTTTTCTTGTCAATGATAAATTAAAAACTTGTCAGTTAGAATGTCCACTAATAATGGTGTCATTTATGTCTGACTAGGCTAAAGTGGCTGAAATGGCCTCTGCTCTGCCTATGTCCAGCATTTCAGTTTGCAACAATTATTAAAGTTTTTTGATTCAAATATTTTAAAAACTACCAAATGTGGTCATATTGGCTTCCCTGTGCACACTACACTTGGTACACATTTGAAATGTACCACAAAGAGGAACCCTGCTGACTTTGATGATTTAGTGGTGTTTTCTCTAGCTAATGGCTTCTAGAATAATATCTGATGTTCTTATATTTGTTTTAAAAACAGAACTTTAACACACTTTTGGCAGCATCAGCTTATAGTCACAGAGGCCATGTGTAGGGTCACTGATAATATTATGTATGTCCATTTTATTTTTGAGAAGTTGTACTACAAGGATCCTTTTTTATGCCCCTTACATTTTTTTTTATAATGATTTCCCATAAATTAATTATAATTGTTTCATGAGCTAATGGGAATGGCATCGGTTTTGTAGCTATTTTGTCTTAAATCCAAGTATTGAATGTATCAAAGTTCAGACCTGATGATTGTGCCAGATAAAAAGAGATGTTATTGTAGATCATCCCTTGGTAAACATAAATGTCTGCATTGCTTAACAGTAAGGAAAGGTTAGCATTACCGGAATCATCTGTGAAGCATAACTGTGCCAAATCTGTGTCAGTCCTCTGAGAAAATGTTGAGCTATTTCACTGGACACATTCTGAGCTTGGCCCCCTGGTGGCCCTTGACAAAAAGTCAGCAGATTACCAGGATCCCTTCAATTTACCCCATGTGCTGTGAATCTTTGTAAAAAATAAAAAGTCAGAGGGTGGCCAAAGTCACTTGGATTTATCTTGTGGGGATCTTGAATGTCTGTACAAAATTACAGCAGATATTGAGATGTACTGTATGTCTGGACCAAAGCGATGGACTGAGAAACCAACAACCGTTCTCGTGGTAAATAATATCTCCTAAAGCTTTGTTTTGACATTGGGCTTGAATACCTGGTGATTTGGAACATGCAGTTATAGCTTTTTAGGATATTCTTAGCTGTACTGAAAAAACCTGTGTGACATACTATGCACCCTCTGACCCTGAGGTCAAATGACCAACCTGCAGTGGAAAGTGCAGCACTTGTTATGCCTTTAAAAAGAAGACTATGTGACACTGAGTTAATATGGACCTGTCATTCTTCTCCATGGTGCTCTCTGTTTCTTATGGCTTGGTGCGCTTTGGTTTTAATGACTGTGCTCAGCTCTTTGTATTGGTGTTGACTGGCAGTATAAATGCTTGCTGTGGCTTAGTCAGTGTGTTCTAAGCAGTCAACCATGTGTATATGACACAAGGTCTGTCTTTTCTCATAACAACACTGTGCTTTACACATGACAACTACTGAAAACATTGGTTCACTTTCCTAGGAAACATGCATCAAACATTAAACATTTAATTTGTGCTGATGAAGCTATTATTGTAAGCATCAGGAGAAGTGATATCTAAAGTTGCCTAAACACTTTCTGCTGTTCAGGTTGAGCATTCTTCAGTCATGGACAAATGATAATCTCTATGGGAGTAAAGCTGTGCTAGTGAATTCTACTGCTGCAGTAATCAGTCTTTTTATAGTAATACTGCATCAAATGAGCATACTGTATGTAAAGTGAGAGGTGTCTCTCATAGTGATGAAAACAAAGAATTTCATCAACTATGCAGTTCCCCTCAGTTCCATAAAGATGTTTAATGTTTCAGCTCAGTCTTTTGGTTTTATGACCTGCAGTTTTATGACATGGGCATACAGACAATCCTAAGGCAGAGATGCACCAAACCGGCGTGAAAGAACTAGCACTGATAAAGTCTGACAACTGAAAAGTGCAGGTGAAAAGACTTGTGCACACGGGCTGTTAGATTAGCACAGCTGTTTTATCCCATTTACAGTCTGCAGCACTGAACAAATACTAAAATATTCACTCACATTCCAGTCAAACATTTTTGGTAAATTTTGTCCAGAATGAATGTTGTTGTGCAGCAAAAAATTCTTTCAGTTTTCCCTAAATCAAAAACAAGGTTACAGGTCTAAAATGTATAATGTTCAGGTTATATTATCAGTTTTGTCCAGAAATTTTACTGATTTGATTAATTTTGCTATCCCCTTAGAAAATAAATCAAAATCTGTCTTGAGATAGTTTATGTGCAACTTGAATTTGGCTTGAGGGTGGTTCTAGAGGAAAATGAGGATGCATCACATATGTAATAAACATAAATACTGTAGCTACAGAGACGTTTTGTGAAAATGGTCATTACATTTTGCAGTGGACCACAGTGTAGGTCAAGAAGACCTTTATTCTGATCATGGCACTCACTCACCAAACATCATTAGGAATCATCTATAAGAAGCCAAACAATTTCATGATATTGTTGTAGCACCTGTTGTGAAACTTTGCTCTGGACCTTGTTCAAGAGAAAATAATTGCATTACTTGATGAATAGCAGTGTAACAAGCTAAAAAAAGAATTCTCCTTATGTGGCCTGTGTGTCTCATGCTCAGATGGCAGCTGTTTTTGGATGGAATCACTGAGGATTGATGGACCCATGGCCTCTGCATGTTAGTCTCTGTGGGGCCAGTGGTCTATTCACAGACAGAAGAAACATCTTAGCATAGCTGGTGTTGTACCCAGTACTTTTTACCATACGGACTCTGAGAAATGAAGCAGTCCAAGTAACTACAAAACAGTGCTGATTTATTCCATGAACACAGGTAAAAATTAACATTACACGCTCAGGCATGTTGCACCTCCAAACTGCGCGCAGGCAAATGAACGATGAAGAGACCCTGAATCCAACAGGCCTGTACATTATATCTGGTTTGGGCTAACCCCATTCTACACAGGCACGTCAAACCGTGGCGTCACCTGATATGCCAGCTTTACAGCTGACCGTAGCAGTAGTCAAAACATGGAGAAAATCAATGTGTGTGAGTGTTGATTAAGTGGTGTGTATCTAAGAACATACAGGACATTCAGGGACATGTCCGGACATTAAGCCTAGGAAGATATTATGATTAAGATTACGGCTAAACATATCATATAG